TACCCTACATTTTTCTAAACATCAGTCAAGCAAATTTAGACTGGCTAACGTGCAGTAGAAGAATAAGAACGAAACGTGAATTCAAACTCTTTTAAAGTACTCACCAAAGACTCAAAATAGAGGCGTTTCCTCTGAAACTTTCTTCTTTCCTCTGAGTGTGTGCGTGGCAAAGTCACTGGAACACTGCCTGAATTATAGCCGGTGTGCTCACCTTTAAAATGAGCTCCAAAACGTTTTAGCCAATCAGCGGCTAAGACGTCCACTGCGATACCGGTGCAGCCGACTCTAACCGATTGAGCTGACAAACTTAAGGCAACATGGGGCATTGTTGTAAAAAGGACACAATAATCGGTCATGCTCTGATATCACCTCTTTTGCCAGGAGGGATCATTCTCTTCCACGATTAATTAGTTTTTAATTGACGAGTGTAGGTGTTGATGTTCTAGAAAAGAGAAGATAGTTGAATGAAATTTATGTTAAAAAATAGAACCGAGCTGGTCACTCGTGCTCTGGTATGTCACTTCGTCTCATCGATAGGAATCAAAACGGAATGTTTTTTTCTAGATTAGTCTCATTTATTCATTTGGATTGCATTTCTTCATTAACCACTAATGTGCATGCAACGTTTTTCGAGACAGATCCTCCTCTCTGATAAATGAGTTTTTAATTTGCCGCCATACTTAGTGTTCCGGAGAGGAAATTGAAACGTGTTTATCTGACCGTTGCCTTAAACATTCTAACGGTGCAGCTGCATTTAAAGGTTTGAATATGGAGATCTGCTTCCATGGCCATTTTTGTGCACTGTAGCTGAGGGTTTTCAGGTTCTACGAGAGAGAATTGGTGGTAGCTTTGCTCACCTTAACAGCTAGTACGTGACCTCTCTAGTTCTTTGTTAAATCATGGACTAAGCAATTAACAAACAATATTGGCTTTGACATTTCAAAACCTAAACAAATTTATCCCTTAATTTACATAGCAGGGGGATCCAACGCGTAACCGAAAAAGCCTGATGAAAAGATAAAAAATTAAAGATAAAGGCATTTTCATTCCAACTGAGGAAACCTCAATGGAAGATATGCAGTTTTTATAAGCTCCTTACAATAAATGGCTGATGAATTTATCGGTTAACATTATTTCCAGAGATTGAATATTTCCCGTTCCTAAAAATTGTAAGCGGGCGGATCCTACACGTCTTATATGTCTCTCTTAAATACATCGATCTGAGTCAAAACTAATCTCATTTATTCATTCAAAAACTAATCTCATTTATTCATTCAAAACTGAATGTTGTTTTTCTTGATTTCTCTCATATATTTATTTATTTGGTTTTCATTACTCTCTATGATCCGCACTGGCACTACCTGTCCATGGAACGTTTTGTCGAAACAAATCCTTCTCTGTGAAAGGAGATTGGAAGATGTTTATCGGAACGGTGCATTAAACACTGATCCTTGCGCAGGCAGATGTATTCAAAGGTTTAAATATGGGGATCTACCTCCATCATTGTGTACTTTAGCTTCAGATTTCTGTTTTATTCGAAGAATAAGAACAGGGACATCTACTAATTTACAGTGCAACATGTGCTCTACGAAGCAGTGACCTCTAAGTTATTTGTTAAACCGATCAATGACTAAACAATTGTAAAAGAAAGTTAAACAATATCGACTTTGTGATTTTCAAAACAAAACAAAATTCCTTACTAAATTTACATATTGGGCGGATTCAATACGGCACCAACAGAT